CTAGTTGGACTTCTAGGGTTTTCTTTTGTATGTAATAGGCATATGACTGTATCTAAATACCTAACTTAAATACCTGTATATCTTTAAGTACATGTTCCTGGGAAGCCCCGCCAGCCGAGGCGGGCGCGCGCTAGCGGTTACAATTATGTAGACTTACTAACTCAAGAGATCCTCAAAGTACGTGTGTTCCCCTCCCCCTAATGTAGACCCCTGATTAATAAACCCCCCTGCTTTTAAGAGCCTGAATATTAGGATCCCAATTATAATCCCTATTCAGGGGGACGGGGTTTATTAATCATAGGCCTACATTATGTGGTCAGAACCCCCTGAGCCACACAGCAACCTCAACCCTAAATGCAAATGAGTAGTGTTTTTTTGGTGGTTGAACCCAGTAAGATTAGAATCCTTATATAAAATTCTATACCCAAAAGAAGGATGTGATCTTACTCTATAATGGCTACCATAGTATCCCCAAATAAAGTATTACTCAAATGGGGCTGAGGTCGTGAATGACAACATGCTAGCATAGCTGCGTACAAGCGACTGTTCGGCTACAGAACATGAAGTGGCGTCAAGGTTACTTGTTTGGCCACTCTTGGTTTTTGAATTAAGGCGCCCGCTGTCGATTTCCACGTGTTGGGGATCTTCTCTTAACCCTAGCTTAGATGAATCAAGCCCATACTTTTAGGATGTCCCCTATCGAACTTGGGGATTTTTGCGCAACAACTACCACCTAGACTAAATGAAGTCAACGGTAACTTTGACCGCGACTCACATGAATGCAGACTTGATGATGCAACACCCTGAGCCTAAACCCAACACCCTGAACTGTAAAGCTCTAAACCCCTAAATCTTGAACTCTACATTATGACAAAACTGAAGTATGTTTATAGAGAGCAAAAGAAGCGGTCAGTCATCTTGCACCCTTGTCCTTTTCAAAACAGTAGACACGCATTTCGTCTTGGGGATTCACTACAGAGGACGAGACGATACTTTGAGGTGCCTTGGAATTAGGTAGTACATTGTGTTCCTCTCACATGCCCATTGTAACCCTACCGTAATGCCTTCTAAGACGGATCCCTAACCCAGTAGTAGCCCCAAGCTAGCCCATTAAGAACCCACAGGCTTGCACCCCAAAGCCTCAACCCTAGAATCCCTAACCCCTTAGTAAACCCAAACCCTAAACCCCAGGGTCCCTAGCCCATTAGCAACCCCAGGGTCCCACAAAGAATCTTCTTCTTCACAGGGAAGGTATCGGGCTTAAGGTATCCTGGTGTCACTGGGCATGGGTCCCAGCATAGATCAAGCTTTAGGGTTCTAGGAGGCTTCATGTGGGGATTTCTCAAGAACCATAAAGGGGTCGTAGGGGACATACATGGATCATATGGGTATTTATAGGGTTGCGTCTATGTATATACATCATAACTACATACATAAATACACACTTCTAATTATTGTAGAGTTCGGGACTTCCAAAACAGGGGCCCCGTTTGGGGAGTCCCTACGTAAAAGCGCCCAACATCCCAAATGAGTTCAACAAAAGGAGATCTTGTCTTTTTTGGTAAGCCGGGCCCTCAACCAATCCATTGTTAAAATGAAAGGACCTTATCATCTGGGAAAAACCCCGAACCTTAAAACCCTGAATCCTAAACCCGAAGTCCTACACCCTAAACCCAGCCGGCACCCAAAATCCAAACCCGCAGCAAGCTTCCCCGCGCCTCTTGACGCTGCAGAACCTATGACAGCAAGGGTTTAGGGTTTTAAGGTGTAGGGTTAAGGGTTTAGGGTTAGTCTCACTCAACCCTAAACCCTAAACCTGAACAGTAAACCCTAAACCTAAATCCTAAACCCTAATGAGAGTTGATGCAAAAACTTCAACGGCGGCCCATGCCTCTCTCCCCGCAGCATACAAGTTCCAGAGGCTTTGCAAGAAGCTGGCATTCTCGGTCATATGGGGATTTAGGGTTTAGGGTTTGGGGATTCCGGATTAGGGTTTTAGGGTTTAAGGTTTGAGGATGAGGGCTTATTCTAAATTTACAGTACATGGGGGGTTTCCCAAAATTAGGGGTTGTGGGTAATATAGAGGTTATATAGGGATAAATGGAGCAGAAAATGGAAGCTACTATTTAGGGTTTAGTGTTTAGAGTGTAGGAGTTCCCGAACTTAGGGGTACCTTTAGGGGTCCCTATAATAAGGATTATAGTATTTAGGGGTCTATATTGGGGTCCCCTTATTTTGGGGACCTTTCATATTTCATAGGCACCTAAGCAACTACCATAAACGGCAACATCATAAGCCGGAAGCCCGACAGCATGGGATCCTAAGTGTAAAGCTTGCTAGGATCTTCCAAGCACCCATGGTGATGGGCTTCATTTGTTCGGGGCAAAGAAGCAATTGTTGTGGGTACCTGTCCACCTGCTTTGATTTTGCAGGCTGAGCTTTTAACGTAAGCTCAAGGCACAGACGCATGAAAGGCGTCAACGTTCAAGGGTCTAGGCACCCAAATATTCGGGTTGTAGGATTTGGGGTTCAGGGTTTTGGGTCCCGAAAGAAACCAGAACAGCGAGCTACAATCTACTGCATAGAGTGCTCCATTCGCACACCAAAGCCCCAAGCATGATGTTTGCCAAATTAATATACCTCCATCGAAGTCCGAACAAATGCTGCGTAGTGCGAGGCCTTCATAAGCCGGCCTTTATCCAGCATCGCCTGCCACTCTAATTTCGCATATCTCGCCGTACCTCAATCAGTTCTGGAACTCAAAAAGCAAGTCCAACTCTTTCGCCGTTGCCCTGCCTGAATCCCTAGACCCTTAGCCCTAAACCCCAAACCCTAAACCCTAAATCATAAACCCTCAACACTATAGATCCTAAACCCTGAACCCCTCAACCCTAAACCCTGCCCCCTAAGCCCAAAATCCTGAACTCCACCTCCTCTCCCAGGCGGTTTTGGTAGTCTCTTCCATCCACCAGGGATTCCAATGCCTCGCGGACAGATCTTGATTGACATGCCCAAGCTGCTTGCTCTCCACTGTGTTAAAGGTTTAGGGCTTAGGGGTTTGGAGTTTAGGGCTTAGGGATTTTGTGTTTGGGGTTTAGGGTTTGGGGTTTAGGATTTAGGTTGAGGGTTCTAGGCACTTGGGGATACTGCTGCTACAAAACACTCTGCATGACCCTACTTTTCTAGAGTCTTGAGTATTAATTATAGCTTCCAACAACCCTAAGGGTTTAGGGTTTAGGGTCTAGACCCCAAACCCTCCAGAACTTGAAGCTGCTGGGCCCTGCACACGACGACGCACACTCAGACGCACGCCCACACACACCTGGAGAAAACCACTGTTCTCCAATATTCAGATGGCGGGGAGTAATCTTCTCCAACTTAACGCTCCAAACCCTACACCTAAAACCCTAAACCCCTAAAACCTAAGCCCCTGAAACCTAAACCCTAAAACCCTCAACCCCTGAAACCCTAACCCGTCAAACCTAAAACCCTCAAAGCCTAGGACCCTCAACCCCTCAACCCCTAAAACCGAAACGTGGTGGATGTGCGCATGGCAGAATAATCCTATAGAATCCCCATAAAACCCTACGTATATTATCCCAATATAGCCCAATATTATCCCAACATTAGAGTCTAAGGTTGAAACCATGGGCCCCTAGTATGGGCCCTTAAACGTAGGATGTTTATATATCTACTTTAGGGTTTAGGGTTTTACCAGGATGGGCTATTAGACCTTAAAGGGCCATTAATCTAGCCGTTTTGAAGTACGAATAGGGAACTTTAGGGTCTAATAGCCCATACTGGTACCCGATATATTTTCTAGAACTCCCTAAAAGGCGCAAGGGGCCCATATTAGGGGCCCATACTTCTAACCGTAGGTCCTGGGTTCCCTAGGCTCAAGGGCCCATATTAGGAGCCCATACTTCTAACCTTAGATCCGGGCACCTTCATGAGAAAGTTTGGACCGCTTGCCAACCAGGAAAGTCCTCCCGAGGGCTCCGCGGACTCCGCGAGCGCATCCTCGGGTTGGCAGGGTTACTGGGTCATATAGTGGTGTTTGGCTTTAGAACTACTTTTTTCAATAGCGCTTATAGAAGCAGGGTTATATAGGGATATATAGGATTCAGGGTTTAGGGGGTTTATGATGTTGAGTTTTTCAGGTATAGGGATTTCGGGTTTTCAGGGCTTAAGGTTTTAGGGTGTAGGGCTTAGGGTTTAGGGTTTACGGTGGCCTTGAAAGGCGTTCTGGGATGAGAGGGATATGCAGGGCTATTTAGGGGTATGGTGTGCAAATAGCCTTATAACTTCTAGCCCGCATATAATAAGCTATAGGCCATGTAATAGCTCCAGTTCTCCCCCTTCATGTAACCCTTCAAACACGGTATAGACCACAGAAGCCAGGGAGCTATAGTCTTTACTCTCAGAACCCATGAGAACACCGTCATACACGGTGTTCGTGGGGGACCTGCCCTTCAGCACAGCCTCCAAGGTTCGGCCCTAACCTGCTTCCAGTTCCACCACTGCCACGCTGATGGAGTCTCCCATTGCCGCACGCAGCTTGCCGAGCAGCAACGCCGGCAGCTCACGACCCAGGACCGTTTCTGGGCCCAGAATGCACAACTTTGTGAGTCTGGGACCGCAATGAACATGCAAAGAGACCACGTGCCAAATAGAGAGGACAAGCGGCTCTCGTAGCTCAGGTTGACCAGGCTGACAGTCGGCAGCATGTTCATGGCTTTGCTCTCCCACTCCTCTTAGTAACTCCCATGTAATAACCCCCATAATACTTCCCTATATAACCCCCCAGAAGGATTTTAGACGCTCAATGGCTTTAGGGGCTAAGGGCGTTGAACTACGGTGCACAGTTTCAAACACCTCTGAAAACAAAAGCTGCACGTGTATAGAGAATCACAAGGTGAAATGAACGTGGACAAGGAAATGGAGGCCAGGATAATCAGAAACATGTGAAGAGTGTTGCATTGGAAGTGAGGTTGCATTCTTATATGGTAATATCCCAAAATGGGGGACCCCAATATAGACCCAAATATAATATAGTCCTTATTATAGGGAAACCCAAAACCGTACCCCTCATTTGGGGAAACCCCCCATATCATATTGTAGCCAGGAGGCTCTGTAGTCCCTAACTCCTAAACCCTAAGCCTTGGTCTTTGGGTAGTCTCTGTGGTCCCTAACTCCTATATAAACCCTAAGCCTTGGTCTTTGGGTAGCTGCTAAGGTCAGAGGTCAACATGCCCTCAATTGCTGCTGCAACGCTCCGCACGCTGGTGACGAGATCCATTGGGTTTATGGTTTATGCTATTGGTTAACCATTAGGGTTTAGGGTTTGGGGGTTAGGTTTCGGGTTTAGGGTCCCATCCCCACATGACTTTTCGGCAAGTAAGGCCGCACGGCTTCGGGTTTAGAGTTTCGGGTTTATCAGAAGCGAGAGCAAATGCAACCAACAGGCGGTTGCACGGTTAAGGGTTTAGGGTTTAGGGTTTATGATAACCACTTCTGGATACCTGATTGGCAATGCTTACTGCGTGTGCAGAGTATTCTAAAGACCATACCATGAACCAGCGCACCCGCATTCACATACTGGGACACAAGCCACAACCCCTAACTCAACAAGTTTGGGATTGGGACTTGTCAATGCAGGATTCAGAGTTACAAAGGCCAGCTTCACGATCCATGGGTTTAGGGTTTAGCGTTTAGAAGAAATAGTCGTGCAATCTAGGACGCAAAAACCAAAGTTGATGCTGGGTAGCAAGATTGCCCAAACTGCCTTGGACCTATAAACCCTAACCCTAAGCCCGAACTCCCAAGAACACTGAAACTGTCCCAATCGACCTGGAAAGTACGATTCAAAATGGAAATGCGCATTGCTTGGGGATCCACAAAGCGTTTAGGGTTTAGGGATAGGTTTGGGGTTTTATAGAGTTTTATACAGGCTTTAAAGGGGTTTTATAGGGGTTTTATAGGGGTATATAGGGGTTTGATAGGGGTAGTTATACAGGGATAAGGGACTTTAGGGTGTGAGGTTCATACCCCAAAGTCGGTGCCATCTCCAGACTAGATCCCTTTAAACCCTAAACCTTGAATCCCTAATCTACGTGGCACTTAGGACCCCTACTAAGGGTTAACCCTAAGGTAGAAAAACTGGGAATACAAAGGCTTAAGGGTCTAAGGTCCAAGCTAAGTCCCAAGGAGCACTTAAATCCCTAATCAAACTTTAAACCTAAGGTACTATGGTATTTGGGCCCTAAAACCCAATTATTTGGGTCCTTGGACCCTTATACTCTATAAATCCTAAACCCATCTCCTGGGATTTTGTATGGACTACGATCGACAATCACAGGTTGCCGTCAAGAATCTGAGATGACCTTCGAGGACTGCAGGCCCTGGCAGATCTTGTGTGGTTTCAGTTTTAGGGTTGCAAGTTGAGGGTTTTAGGGGTTTAGGGGTTTAGGGGTTTTGGAGTTTAGGGTTTTGGGGTCTCCCTCCGCCCACAACTACAGGTTATATTGGGAAAAAGAAAAAGAAAATGGAAACTACTAGAATAAAGGTGGTTATATAGGAGAATATATTGGGTTTAGGGTCTAAGTGCCCAACAAGCGTTTACTTGGCCGAGACCTCTATTACAAGTAGTATGACCCGAAACCCAAGTACTTACTTGAATAATGATTAAAACTCAAAACCCAAGTACTGAAGGTACTTGGAGCCTTAGGGGAGCAGCCCACCATTGCAGCTCCAACTAGCAACTACCCCCATGTAGTTAGTATCTATAGGTTTTAAGGTCCCAAGTCTGGAATATTCATAAACTTGGAGCCCCAGGGGGCAGCTTCACCTGAATTCGGCACACATCAGGCGTCTAAGACGTGCCTGAAACGGTGGTCATAAGAAGGGGATGACAGGTGCAGACGCACCATTGCCTTGTTGCTCACCCGGAAAAGCTTAAAGGCTTGCCAAGACAGACTTCTCCTACAGCCTTACGCATCCAAGAACTGCCATGCCCTGACTGACGATAGCAATGCAGATTGCAGTAGACAATAGTAACTACTAGTACATCTAACAAGTCCTCGTAATGTTTAGAACCTCACATCCCTTATAGTAAATATTCCTATTATGGTATATGAGGAATATCTAATATTGGGGGGGGGGGTAGGGGTGAAAGTTAGGGGAGGAGACTACTCGGATGCTCACCATCATGTAAAGGAAACCAAACACTAAACGTCCAAGCACCGGAAAAGTACATGATCTTGGCCCGGATAGGCTCCTTAGGCTTAGGTTTTAAGGTTTAGCGCTTACGTATAAGTCACTCACTATACTATTCAAGTTCCCTAAGCCCTAAACTACGCTAAACCCTTTCCTACTGGATCCGGTCCATGCACTATAGGTTTTGGAAACACCATAGGCTTATCTAGGTTGCTGTTAAGGA